TCTCTGAATGTCTGTTACCTCGACTATCTTTTTCTGTACTTTGATATTCCTTCAATCTTTAGTAACTTAATTTCTTCCATGTGTTTATCTTCTTTATTAAGTCTCTTACATTTCCTCATTATTGGGAAAATCGTTAGAAAATTAACGGTATTAATTATAACTTCATAAAAAATTGGGGATTGTAGTTAACAAGTGAAATTAAACCTAGTAAAAAAAAAATAATTGGTGTTTGACAACAACTTAAGTTGCACCTTTACTAGTCTGATGGCCACCATACAAAATAAAGAAAAGCTGATTTTAAAAATTTCCTTTTTATCTTGCTTGAAATGTAAAGCCTGGTAATTTTTCTTTCAGCTGTATGGAGAATTTGCTGACCCTTTTAAACTCTCGGAGTGCAAGCTTGCAATTATACACTGTGCAGGTCATTCTGATCCTATCTTGGTGCAAACTCTCTGGCAAGAAATCATTGAGAAAGGTAGGTCTTAATGGACTAGAAGTGGTACAAGCCAGAACTATAGGAAAATGGTACAATTAAAACTTTTAAGACTATGTGCGGCTACTGATACGCTGTCCAAATGAGATGCATCTTCTCTGGACTATTCTGTAATATATTTGGTAAGTGTAGTTAACTAGTAATTCGTTAATGTTATTACCTTTGGCTTATGTGCCTAAACAACAGAAAAGTAGTATTTTTACATACCTGTTGGAGCATATTGCATGTATGGCTTGAATAATCACATTCCAGATAACGTTTAAGAAGTCATTTCATCCCTTCTTGTTCTTAGATGCCATTATAATATGGACTTCAGAATACATGTGAAATTTTGTCTGAAGGTTTCACTATTAGGAAATTATCATAAAAATGTTAAATTTATCGTGACAAAGATTAAAGAATCTTGAGGGAGTTCAGCGTTTTTATAATGTTGACAGGAGTGTAAGTGTAAGGCTTTTGTCCATTTATAGAGAAGCAGAGTAGTGGGCACAGCTCTGCACGCCTAGCCACTCAGCTGTGGTAATCTGCCTCACCCTCTACCGTGAGCTGGTAATTCACTGTCTCTTCCTGGTTTTTTTTTCCCCTTGGATTTTGTGCTTGCGGTTGCCTTTGTGCGAAAAACATGGACAGTGATTTGAGGGAAAAGCTAGGTGGTAGTGTTTTTCTTGTGGGTTTGTTATTGTTGCTTTGGTGGTGGGGTTTTGGGCTTTTTTTTGTTTGTTTGGGGTTTTTAAAGTAGATTTGCATGGAACTTCAAGGAAACAAAATCTGTGAATATATATGCATACACATCAGAAAAAGTTGTATCTTCACTTACACGTGCTGATTTTGCACTGACAATAGCATAAGATTTTGATGTGTTAGCAGAAAATTTAAGTACCTCAGTGTAGTTGTGTATAAATGTGGAACTTTTTTTCTGAAGTTCTCTCCAAGTCATTTCTTTTCACTTTCAGAGTTGAGCGATAGTGTGTCTCTGAGCCCCGCGGACAGAATGCAAGCACTTAGTCTGAAGATGGTATTGCTGGGAAAGATATATGCTGGCACACCTCGTTACTTTCCTTTAGGCAAGTTGTTTAGCCTGCATAGTAAATAAACATACACATTTCATCAATGGGTCTCAGCTTTCTTTTTAGCCTCTTAAGAAAGTTTTAACTTAAGAAATGTCTCTTTTTTTAAAATCTAAAAGGAAATAACATTGATAATTTTGTGATACATAGTTATGGTAGTTATTTGTGAAATTTTCTGCTGTAGCTGAAGCAACGAATTATTTCAACTGTCAGTAGTGATGGTGTTGATCTTGAGAACAGCTGGGTAGTACTTTTCGGTTTTGTCCAGGAAAGCAGGAACAAAAGCACTGTAATACTTGCTCATTATTACAGTGACTTTGACAAGGGATTGAGGAGAGGGAAGTTAGACAAAAAGTAGAAATAAAATTCCTATTGGCCTCTAATTTTGTAAACACAGTATAATTGTATGCTTACAAAACAGTTACAGTTTTTATAGTGCAGTGTTTCCTAGAATTTATCTAGGGATTTAACCAGAATTTACAGTTTTTCACCCTGAATGGGAAGTAAATGAAGCTTAGAAGGCAGCAACAGTTATTTTTGGATGGCTGTGCAGATCCCATTTTAGAAAGTAGTAAAGTTTATTTGTATCAAAGTACAACATAAAAATGTGTATTTATACATATAATTTTATTTTAGATTACCACATTTATCTGCTGTCTTTTGAAGTATCTACTGCTACTTCAGAGGCAGATTCTAAAAACGGAATTCAGGAGATTTCTGGATCCTTTTTGGAGCTTCTTTCTGCTTTTGAGATGCTCACATGTTTTGACAACTTGGTATTATATAAAAACCTGGAAAATATATTGTTCAGCACTAAATGTTCTTTTAAAATATTTTAGTATTGTTAATTGTTACTGACACTTAAACATAGAAGATGCAGCAGTGTTGCTGGCTATTTTAGCAGATTAAATGATAGTATGTTCTTTTGTGCTGAAACAAAAGTTAATGAACTTTTCTAACAGCATAGTTCCATGGTAGAACTGTAATAAAGTGCTCAGTATAAGTAATCCCTGTCATGCATTGCTGATAGCTTACTACCATCTTTGGAGGTAGTTACATTTTACATATCCTTCCCTTAGTGCAGAATGGGGGAAACTTTCATGTGCTTCACAGGAGAAGGTACCAACTGTGTGGAAGACAGAAAATTAAACTTGGACTAAATCACTTTCAAATGCCTTTCTTTGCTAGACTCCCATTAACAAGTTGGAATCTAAACATTCCGTTATTTTTGTCCTCCAGATTTTTTAGTGCAGTTTCTAGAGCAACAGGTCTGCACTTTGAACTGGGATGTAGGTTTTGTAACATATACCATGCAAGAAATTGGAGTGCCATTGCCCAGGCTGCTTGAAGTATATGACCAGTTGTTTAAAGCACGGGTAAGGAAAATAGCCACAAAATAAAAATTTTGTTTTCAACTACCATCAAGGTCTGTCTTTAGCAGGAAACATAAAATAATGTAAGGTCTGATATATCAAAAGACCAACTTCATAGGTTTTGTTCTTTTCTATTACTCAGAGGCTCTTAATGCTGCTTGGTTTTCCCCTGTTGATTTTGTTCACTTCAGTCCTAAAGAATGAGGAAAATTGTTAATCCCTTTACTTCACCTAAAGCTGATTTAGGATTAAATAGGATTAGAATTGTTATGTTGCAGAAGGAATAACATATCTTGAATATATTAATTTTATTTGTTTCCTTTTAATGATTAAAATTTGCTATATTACTGCTTCTTGTCTAATCTGTTGATGCAATAGGCATAAAAAATAAAAATCCATATTTTTAACTTTTGGTTTGTAGAACAGGCTTAAACAGAATTAAAACAAAGAGAATTGACTTGCTTATTTTTACCCAAATTGCTTACAGTGTAAGGAATTCAGAACTTCCTAAAATCTATTACTTTACAGCCTGTTAGGTGTCATGTATATTTTAGTACTCAAAAGTCCAAGTAGTACTTAATATAGATTAATATAGACTTAATATAGATTAAGATAGAATTCCCATTTCTCTTACATTTTTGTTACAAAGAATAAATAATTACCACAGCTGGCAGTCTGCATGTACACACACACACTCTTTTTTTTTTTCTTGTCTCCTTAATATTTGTCTCCTTAATATTTTGGAATCTTTTTTTAGGACCCATATTGGAATAGAATGAAAAAGCCTTTACACCTTTTAGAGTGTATTCATGTGTTATTATCAGGATATGTACATGATCCAAGCAGAGTACTTCTGAGGTAAGAAAGGCAACTATATCCTAATAAACAGTGAAAGATGTAAAATATCCTACAGCACTGCACATCAGCAATCCCCAAAGCTTTTCTTCTTCTCTTTTGGGTGAATTTAGTATTTCTTTCCTAGCAGTGATTACTGAGACTCCTCATTCAAAACCAGCTGATAGAAACTTATAGGGTCCTCCGTATAAACTACTTCAATAAAGATAATTTTCTCCACTTCACTGAAGATTCATGAGGAACTGAGAGGATTATTTTGTAAATTTTGGCAACATAATTTAAGGAGTAGTACAGACAAATTTGAGGGAATCTGGGAAAAGTGGAGAAAGATGAGAATCGGGTGTTTTGTGAATGAAGCAGTGAACTATTTAATGAAGAAGGGCTAGAAGCACTGAGTCTTTGTATTCTGGAAAAGAGAAGACTAAAATGGGGATAGATCTTCCCAAATTGTTTTTAAGAGGTTGGCAATGAATCACTCTCCCAGACTAAAATTCAGCTTAGTCTGCAACAGGAAAGAATTCAGGTTTTATATTAGAAAAAGTTTCTGGTTAGAAGAATAGCTATGTACTTGAACAAGTTGCCTGCATATTATGGAATCTCTAGCTTTGGCAACTTTCGTGAATAGACTATACAAACTTCAGTCAGAACTATCTTGTCTCAGGAACAATGAGCAGAACTAGGCAAAGTCTTGGTAACTCTTCTAACCTTAATTTTTTCTGATTCTCTTGAAAATATACATATAAATATCCCCAGTTCATATATAGAGTTTACATCTATCTTTTCTCACTTTTTTGGTCTTTTATGGTTAGCTGATTTAAATACTCTAACTTATTAGAACTGTAGTGAATGTTGTCTAATTCTAATACCTACTTAGATATTAATACCTAAATTGTTGTGATTGATACTAATTTTAGATATTTAAATTGCTATCCAAATTAATAACTTATACATTGATTGTATTCCTATCTAAAGTAATATCTAAATATTAAAGTAAATATTTCACATTGCCATTAACTGTATCATGGTTTATTGTTTATATTTAATATCAGATAAATAGTAATGATTCATTTGTTTTCCCATTGACTTAGTCACAAGCATTAAATTTCAAAAATCAATTTTTCTAATAAATAGTTAAATACTTAAAAGTAGCTGACAGATGTCTTGCTGATATGTTACTCCATTAAAACTCAAAGAATGCTCAGTTTCTATTTCAAATGAATTCTAATATACAGAAACAAAAAGGACCTCGTTATTATTCTATGTTTTCTTTACAGGCGACGATTCACAAATGTTTGCTTGGATGCTGTTAGTTGCTACCTGGTTGAACTTCAGTCTATGAGCCCGACGCTAATGGTGCAGACTACAGTTGGGAATTTTAAATCACTACAGGCTAAATTAGAACGGCTTCACTGATTGACTAATATAATAACAGAATCATTAGCTCAGATAAAAAGAACTATGAATGAAAGTTCAGATGTCTGCACTGAATCTCTGGAAGAACAAATGCTCAGAAAGAAATTCTGAGAAAGTTGTATCTCCTGCTGCAGTTATCGATTGTGTGGCCTGTATTCGTGCTATGCTAAAGGTATCTACAAATTGTAGAATGTAAATGTGACAAATGGAGTTTCTTTTACTACTACCAAATTTTTTAACAATAGAAAACTTTTTTTATACTGTTGAAATAAAATACATTGTGTGACCTTTCCCTGGAGGATTAAAAATATTTGGAAAATATTTTTCTTTTTCTTTATTTAACATAAAGTAATGGAGAAAAGTGGGATGTAAAATCTACTGGATAGCTGTTTTACAAGTATCAAATCAAGAAATGACAACTGCAGAAGGCAAGATGATGACAAAAGCACATGTAGATGAGTCAGGTTGTCAATGTGGTCATACCTGGGAACAGTGATGCAATCATAACGCTCTGCATGAGTTTATTGGCAGGTGTTTCAGTAACAAAGATAATCATCATTTCGTAACTGTCGCTTTAAACACAGCCTGCCTCTGTAAATGGAATGTTTGGGATGAAATTGCAGAAACTAGCAATCTAATTTGTATTGCAAGTGAAAGAAGAGTATTAAAACCGCATCAAATTAATTTTCCCTATTCCATTTTAATAAATATGTTGTATGTTAAAATCAAATAAAGAAGTCAAGAAGTGACTTCTGTCTACTTTCATTACATGCACACAAGCACCAAATTGTGTATATTCCTTAAAAGGAGCAAAGCCTACCATAATCTTGTATACGTGCTTCCTAAGATTTTAAAATCTCATCCTACAAGGAAATTTGTTTTGTCTCTGATTTACTGCTATGCATTGTGTACATATTCAACAACATAAACTCTATATAACATGCACAAGAAATTACCAGTTCATGCTGGTCTCTAGTCTTTTTCAACTTCTTCATGTAAGTAAATAATCAAAGAGTTTGGAGAGATTTTTAATGCCGGAAAGAAGCAAGTATCTTTATGCCTATGTACAGAGTAGATTAATGTATTTTTTCCCAGGAGAATGAGTAGTTGATACACCTATCACAGGTGTTTAAAAAACAGAAAAAAAGAAGTATGGATTAAGACATTTATTTACATGCAAGTTATCTACTTAAACCCTTTACTACTATGCTCTAAAGTTTTGTTTAAAGTACAGCCATTAAATTTCTTTCCCTGTGAACTGCCAGGTACATTCTGATGATTTTCAGCCTGAGAATGCACCCAGTGAAGTAATATGTAAATTAAAATACATGTCTTTTTTACCTCTTGTTAGATCAAAATAGATCTGAAATCTTAGTATTTGCTTTTCTCTTTTTTCAGTGTTGAAATTTCCTCACAAAGTATTTAAATAGAGGAATTACTGTATGCCCTGGGAAAAAGATTTGCATCTTTCCATATTACAAGTTAGTTTCTGCTGATAGCTATGTTTCACACTAGGGATGTGATGTACATTTACCCCGGTCTTGTTATTGCAGTTCTGTTCATACAAGTGATGTCCCGAGTCTTGCCTGATGTATTTCACTTTTATTTCTAAATTTTAGTATTTGCACAAAAGTATGTTTTGTTGAGCCATATTCTGTAATCTAGGTAAATAGATTTCTATTTTCAGATTTGGAGAAATAACCGAGGAGTTGGGAACAGGCACAAGACTTGAGTTTCAGCTCTTCTTTTTTTTTCCCAGTTAATAGAATAAAAAAGCCTCTGCCAATATTACAAGTTTTTCAAAGTAAAAGTATTTCAAAGTGTATCAAGAGTTATCTTTGGTATTTTTCAGATGATTGCAGGTAATTTCAGTGTAGGCATTGCGTTTTGTTTTCATAGCACTTGCTTTGCTCTCAGATGGAGAAAGGGTAGTTTGTTTCCCCATTTAAATTTGGAGGGATGTGGAAACCTGAGATCAGAGGAGAGCAGTGGGTGGATTAATGCAGTAGATGAAACAAATGGTGACAAGTACAGGGAATTAACTGACCAACAAGAACATGAACCATTTCTCAGTAACAAAATTATCAACAATTGGATGACTACTTTTGTTAGTTGTCGCCGCCCCGCCCCCCCCC